AGTTCTGTCTTATACACATCTTCCTAAGAGAAAAAACATGGAAAAAACTTTAAATTATCATTCATTTCCAGCTGGCATCTCTAGTTCAGTTATATGGCCTCTCTTTGCCACATAACTAGTAAAAAAATGCAATTGCTTTCAACCAGTGTTGAAAGCATGAATGTAATATACCTCTGTTGCTATGAAAAACACAAAAAGAGCATCAGTTCATTTGGTAAGCAACATATAAGATTACTGCAATGACACCAAGGCATATTTATCCAGTTTAGGTACTTTATAGTGAACATCAGTATTGAGGCTTATGTTTTTCTACTATGGAGAACCTTGCCTTGAATTATGGTAGAAGATGCATTCTAATTCCATTCCCTAATTATAAAAGATTAAAACTTTTTCTTTTAAAATACTCTTATGAGTAAAATTTTTCAAGATTTTTCCCTGCAAATTAGGAGATTTCCTTTTTAATTTTTGTAGGGGAAGAAACACCCTTCTTAATAAATATATGGGTACTGGACCACTTTAAGGGTAGCTGTGAATGAAATGAAGAGCTGAATTTATTCAGACATTGAAAAATTCTTCTGATGTTTTGTGTATTTTTTTGGTGACAGAGTACTAACCGATTTTCATACACTTAATGGTTTAAGATATACTTGTCTTTGCTATTATGCAGTGCTATCACGGTATAAAGGCCCAATGTTTTGATTTAACACAATTTTTGGACAGTGATGCACTTTCACTACAAAGAAAGGTGAAAAAATTAGATCCCCAGTTTACTGACTGCAGATGTATACCCTGAAAAGTGTTGCTTTTCCAACCTATAGATGTCATGCTGTCTTGAATTACAATTTCCTGTGCTGTTATATCCTGCAATTGTAATTCTCCAATTTTTCCTGTCTGTATTTTCTCTGATTCTGCTAAGACTTATGACAAGAGGTTCCAATCAAGACTGAGACCCTACCATGCCAGACACAAAACAAAACCTTGTAAGACCCAGTCCTTGTCCCCAGTAGGATGAATGCTGCAGAGGAAAAGCAGATAGGGTTGGAAGGCAATCAAGAGGTGCAGAGACAATACATGGCTCATTTAGAGCCTTTTGGCAGGTCACAGGCAAGACATTAAACTCTGCAAATGCTACCCTACCTCTTTCTGATGCCGTATTACACTGGATTACATGTGTGTGAGAAACAGTACAATGACTAGAAACACATAATGGAAAAGGGATCCTGGGGGTGCCTAACATAGATATTATGTTATTTGAATCACAATGTATTTGGTCTATGAACTGGGATTTAGAGACCTAAACTTCCAAGCTTAGAAATGTTGACCCTTCATCTTGTGAAATGTTCTGGCTTTTGTGTGTTTACAGCATTCACCTCAACTCTGCATTTAAAAAAATGTTTGTGTTTAATGATTACTCCTTATCTCTTCCATACAGTGTTAATAAGAAATTGAAAATACTTCTGCTATATTGCATGATCCATTGCACCTGGGCATCAACTTTCAAGAAATGACATTTCCTGAATACTCCTCATTAAGATTCACAAGCACCTTGTGATACATATAAATCTTATGAGCCCTAAATTAAAAATGGGTATCTGAATAAGAGACATGTGGAGTGATCCTCCAAAAAGGAGCACAGCAAGAAAATATCAGAGCAGTGAATGGCATGCAAACGTTTTCTTTCCAGTTCCTTTTAGACAATATCCCCATTGAAACCAGTGAGAAGTAATACATTATATCCAATACTCAGCTTACTCAAACTGACAGAGACATAGTGAATTCACTGGAGTTATGCTGACTTACACCAATACAATAGCCAGTCCATCATACTTTATCAAATGTATATATTTTTTCCCTTCTTTGACTTAATCAGAGTTGTTTTCCCCCTGGAGCATAAATAATGAAATATTAGAAATATTTATTTATTGTAAATTCTCACTTTAATCAAGTGATTCTTCAGTTGACCTATTTAGCCTTGAACTAATTGTTTTACTGATGCTTCAGCATAAAGAGATTGGATAATTCTTGATTAATAAGTTTCAAAACATATTGTATTAGAACATGCAAGCAGAGCATCACTCTTAAAAATACGGCCACATGTATGACAGAGTGTCTAGGCTGTGGGGCAGATATAAGCATGCCAGTGGAGCGGGAATTAAAAGCTTGGTCATTTTTCTCCTGTTTGTAGCAGGATCTACATGGCATTACAGTAGAGGTGGATTGTCAGTGAGAATTCTCCTGCTTCCTCTTAATGAGTTTTCCACTCATTAATATTTGCATTATTCAAATCAATGACAACAAGGTTAGAGGCTTCCCCCTGGTTGTTGCAACAATTTGGATTGATTGACGAGTTTTCAGAGAAGAGTGAAAGGAGTAAGAGATAAGAAAGAGATAAGGAGTAAGAGTCCTTGGAAATAACAGCCAATGGAGGACAAAGGCAGAGATCATTTTCAACGAGGAAGACAAGTGCCCCAGAGAGGTGGAAAGAGATGAAAGGAGGGAGGTTAGAGGCTGTGTAGTAACTACTACTCACGTCCTGGCCAGTGCTAGGAAATTTAAGTGTGTCAAGAGATATAAAAGAGGACCCAGCCAACACAGTGCACACGGTGGTGCTACACAGCTGCAGCGTCACCAAGAAGAGCTCCCTGGAGTTCAAGCTGATTGCCTGCATATATAATATAAGGAGCCTCCCTGAGCCTGAAGTCCTCCTCTGCAAACACAGTGCCACACTGTTGAGCTGAGACATTTGCACTTTTGCCCAACGTGCTTTCTACACACTCCTCAAGGGTGCAGGTGTCCAGCAAAGGCAGCTCCATCCTTTGAGATGGGAGGGAAGAGGAGCTAGATATTGCCATTCCTCAATGATCTTCCCTTTGAACTTCTCGAGACTCCTCAAAACAGCCATGTAGAGGATAACATCAAAGGAAAGACAAGTTTTGTTTTTCCAGTTGATTTTTGGGGGGATTCTTTTGATGGTTTTATGATCTCCAATACAAACTCACTAAAAGCTTCCTCTTCAGTCTGTTTCTGTTTAAAGTCCTGACCCTTTCTCATTTGTTATATATTTAGCTTTAGGACAGGATCTGTAAAAGAACAGTGAGTCATGACCAAATGTCTTGTATCATGAACGCTACATACCATTTTGGGTGAAAAAGGTGTAATACCTACAAAAAAATGTGTTAGCAGTCAACTGGCCATTTCAGCAATTTTAGTTATCTCCCTGGACAGAGTCAGATCACCTGGCAGTGTCCGATATCTCTTGTTCGCTTTGTGTGGGTAAGGGCTTAAGGAAAGTGTCAGTCTCATCTTTGTTTAGCTGAATCACTGTCTTATCAAAACTCTTATAGCAGTCTGATAAGGCAAAACTGATGTGTCATATGGCCAAACTTTGCATTGCAGCAATTGTCCCATTCCCTGTTTCCATCTCTTCTCCCACTCAAGCAGAACAGAGCCCATGCATCATTAATTTATGTTGCTTGTCATTCTTATCTGTCCCTAGACATTTAAGACAGCAACAGAAACAAACACTAAAACTAAAATCCCTCATAGGCACTGAGGTTAAGTGATACTGCCTTGCAGAAAGGGAGGCAAGTTTGCTGTCTCACTAAGACTAGGTATTTTCCTAATGGGAGTTTCCTCCATCTTTGCTTGTTTTTCTACCCATCCGGATGCAGTTTTAGCTACTCAATACAGTCAGCCTGATTTTGAAGGCACTCTTACGTGTTGCTTCATTACTTTCTGATGGTTAAGGAAATTGGTAAGGAATAATGAAATTCTACTGAGAACCCTCACCTTGACTAGTCTAATCTCCACTGTCCCACCATTCCCTGGCTTCCCGGAAGGGATGGATTTGAAAATGAGAAATGAGAAACACATGCATTTTGCTGTTTCTATTATTATCTGAGAAAGCATGAACACACAAATAGACAGCTCAGGCTAATAGACACACTATGACTGGCCCTCAGATCTCTAAGAGAAAAGCAGAGAGTCCTGACAGTTTGTTAAGCAGCAGGGGAATAGAAAGGACACAGAGAGGTCAATCTTTGCTCAACTCAAGAAATAATATGTATAAGGATGAAGGAGATAGATAGTTTCTAGCTTCAAACTGCAAGGACGTGACTGATGTCACCTGAGAAGAGAGTAGCAAAGGCTCAGCAATGCCAAGATAACACTCTGGCTGAGACAGAAGAGCCTTTAAGCACATTTCTTCTGCAAGTCTGGCCAAAGCTCAGGGAATGAAGATAAGAGCCTGACCGGCGCAGAGAAGACTAGTCTGCAGCCGCAGTGAGTCCACAATAGCAGTTCACTGAGGCAAAAGAGAAGTAGCTAAAGGCCTTAGAGATTTCAGATCATTATCTCTACTACAAGGTTGCTGTTGCTAAACCAGAGCAGAGCTTTCTGCCAGGGTAAGAGCTTTTAAAAGCAGGAAAATATGCCTCTACCAGGAGACTCTGCCTTGCATTTGTATCTTGGTACTGTTATTCCAGAAGGCCCCAAATTACTGGAAAATTTCAGGGGTCAGGAAAAGAGACCTAGGGAATCTTCTCAGTGCATGTAATTGGGTCACTGTGGGCATGAGCTGCAGTCTGTCCTTGTTCCTGGCCAGTAGCACTAATACAATTAGCAGGGTACCTGCACTTCTGGAATTACAGATAGACAACACGGAGGAGCTTTCACCAAGTCTCGTTGATTCCATTTCCCTAAAACTCTTCAATTTAATCCAAAAACATCTCGCTTCTAGGGTTCCAGGTGTCAACTGACGCAGTTCACCCTGGAAGCTAACAGCCTTATTTAATCCCAGCGTGGCTGTGCTCTAGGGAGGGAGATGCAACTGCCCGAAGGAGTCCCCTCTGCCAACCTGCCCTCCCATCACAGGAGTGTGGCTCTGGGGGGTTTGGGCTGCGGATGCTCTCTGATTTTGAGCACACCAAGGGCACGGGGTTGAACAAGTTCCCGTTGCTGGCGTCAGAGAGTGTCACAGGCACGGCATCGCTGGGAGGGAATTCGCGCTGTTCGCGTCTCCCCGTCTGCTGCTGGAGCACAGTCTGGAGGGAGCTGTCACTACACGGGTCCTAGCTAGTGTGGGTTTTCATGGAGCAACACGAGAGACCTTTTAGGTAGGACTGTAAAATTCACTGTGCACCAGCAGATATAATAGATGAGGAAAGCATGGGGAGTGGAAGGGGGGGGAAATAAGTGAGAACATACAAATTAAAGAGCAGTTTTTGAAATCTAATCAAATATTCCCTCAATTTACTCACCACCCCTGCAGTGCTGTGCAGTTTTATTAGGTTTTTATTCCATATTCTCTTTTAAAGTGACATTTACATTAATTTACAGTACCAACATGAAAACCTATTTAAAAGCTGAGAGGTTTTGTAACTTTTTATTTTTCAGCGGCTGTCCCCGAGTTTCCAACTGACTACTGAGGAGTCTTTAGTTTTATTTCATGTCTGCAGGAGTGAATCCAAAGTCTCTTCGAGGTGAGTTCCTGCTGCTTTTGTTAAATGTGGAAGGGAGACCATCTTGGTGGGTTCAAGATGGTAATTGGCTGCAAAGCAGAAATGTTCCATCCCTGTAGCCCTCTACACTCCAAAGTGCCTTCAATGTCTGTAATCAGCGCTGGAGTCTATTCCAGCTCCAGAACCAGGGATCAGCTGTGTTTTGGGGATGCACTGTAATCAAAGTGTCATACCGAGAAGTCCAATCTTACTTTGAACTGATGGAATTTTACTTCAGGTCAGCAGAGAGGGACCTGGCTGGAAAAATGGGGTGAGCATATGCACCCAGAGCAGGCATTTGGAAGGCTTTCTTTCTTTTCTTTTTTTTTTTTTTTTCCCCCATAAAATGTTAACAAGTGAATATAGCAGTGCCCAGTGCATTATCCAGGAGCAGAAAAGATGCTGGCACCTTCTTGCCTTGGCCAGAAGTGTGAGCAGAGGATCTCTTGCATGGTCCTGAGACAGGACAGATGTGCAGTTCGCACACACAGAGTCTCTCTGGTGATCCAATTTGTCCCCTTTTCTTATAATTTCTTTCCTTCCTTTTTTTTTATTCCCTAATTAACGCAGGTAATGAATTGCATATGGCCACGGCATTTACTTCTCTGTGTGAAATCTGTAGCAGCTGCATTGTTTATCAGTTCAATATGTTTACTACAGATGCCATTTCTGTGTGACAATTAAGTTGTTTAAAATCTCTTTTTCCCACCCGCTATGTCCCTCCCAAGCCTTCCCATCTCCTTTCCAACACGCATCACTGCAACCTGATTCTTTTTCCAGGCTGATGCTACACTCCAGCTAAAAGATCAAATCTGCCAGAGGTCTGAACATTGTGGAGCCATTTAAACTGATGAGAAGTTCTGAAATATTACTATATTTTCACTCCCACCAAACACAAAGTAAACTGACCACCGAGAGTGCAAATGATGGAAAATCAGACCACGAGTCTTTTGCATGGGACTAACAAAATTTGATTTACCTCCTTTCATTTAACCATGAGTGGATCCTACACATCTTTGGAGAAATATTGTGCTCTTCAGACCTTTTCAAGTATAATGACATCTGAAATGTACATACTCTACCAGTGCTATTGAACTGGACTGTGAAATAATCTTTGAACCTCGTCAATATGGCAAAACACACAGAGGGGGCATGATTTACTGAGGCCATAATTAAACATTGAATTTGCCTCTCCTCTGGGCTCAGCTGAATTCCCGTCAGCAGCCTCTACAGCAAATTGTTGCAACCTAATGTCCTATGTGTTTGGATTTTGTTAATTTATTTCCTGCACCTCATTTTCCTGGAACGAGTGTGGTTATTTATGGCACAGCAGCAAACACTTTACATTTATGGGGGATTATGAATTTCAGTAATGGGTTTTGTGGCAATTTAATCTGTCCCAACTATGAGGCATTTTACAATGACAATTAAATTATTATTAAAAAAAATAAACCTCAAATGACATTCTTATCGCTTATCAACATATCAAAAGTTTCACTGTGTTGCATTTTTGGACTAGGTTATAAATATTCCTCTGTACTTTTCAGAGAATCCTTGCTATAAACTCTGGGTGAACTTAATTAACTTCCACAGTTTATTTGAAAGGAAAATTCTTTACACATTCCAGTGTCAGTGAATGAAACATTTTTTTGAAAATTTGGTTTATTATATGCAAAATCATGTGCCAATGCTTAATATTTAAAGACTTAAATTTGATGTACTACATTGGCTCCTGAAGAGGAAAGCACCTTATGGGGTGGGAGTAGTAAATTTGTGAATTTTCTTGGCTTAACCTCATGGGGAAAAAAGCTTTTATTTCTATCGGTCAGCACTGTCTATGAAAAATGATCAAAAAAGTGTCAAGTATGTTAATTTACACTCCATTAAATTAATTTTAATGCTGGCCTGCTGAGTAGATAATTTTCAAAGCTAAATATCTTGGCTCTTTCAAAACATTTTTTTTTCTTCTCCAAAATACCCAGAATGCTCCACTTTTGTGGGAGCTGGGGACTTGCATCTTCTTCAAGATTCGATATAGATGTGCAACTCTGTGTGTGAGAGAGCGAATGTAAATTCCCCCTCTCCACCTCCTCTCCAAAGAGTGGCAAACGAAAACTTTCATTACAAAAGGCTCCTCAAAGTTATTTTCAAATCTCTGTCTGAAAAAATGACCCCTAATGCACTGATTATGGTAATGCCTAGAGGCTCAGTGAGATTGGGACTATATTTTGCTAAGTGCTATATAAAATATCAGATGGCACCTATTCTAAAGAGCCTGCTATCTCCAAAGACAAGGCAGACAAAAGGCCGGGTAAAAAGAATGGAATTACACCTATCTGCAGATAAAGCAGGCTATTCTAATCATCGTGGCACTCTCAGAAGGTTTGTGATCAGTTCTTTGCCCAGCTGCTGCCTCCTCCAATCCCCCAGAAGCCACAATTATGATTTTAGGCAAGTCAAGGAGTCTCTCCATGTCTCCATTCTCCTGCTGTGAAACAGTGGCAGTAGCACTGCCCTATCTCATGGAGGAGTTTTGAGGATGAAACTCACAACTGAGTGAAGGAAGACACATAGGTCATGTACAAAGTCTGCCTTCACCTGACCATATTTCTAGCCACAAGAGACTGCTGTCTTTTAGATATATCTGTGTATACGTGTGTTACATGCTGTTAGCACTCATACCCCCTGGGCAACACTAACTCAGCTATGAAGCCTCAGCAAGATCACAGGACTAAGCGAATCCTTGTTCTTCTTCAGGAAAGCAGTCTGCACTGAATACAATTTTCTTCCTGTCTTTAAGTACCCCGCATCATCTAAGAATAACTATATGCTCTGATTTTGGAATGTGAGGAAACTGCTTCCCATATGTATCAACTTGGATCCAAATTTTCCCCAAAATAGGTGAGAGGCAGAAAAGAGCTTTAGGTCCTCAGCTAAAGACCTTGGCTAGTGGTGGCTAATGATTTGCCTTGGTCTTTTCTATTTCACTGAAATAGGAGAGTTCCCATATTCAGTATCAAATTGGTGTAGCTTCAATATTGCAAAGAATCAGAGCATTTAATCTAACATTCCCACCCCAGCATCTATCCATCCAACTTGTTTTTTCAGACAGCTGAACTTAGCTAAAGTGCAACCTGGTGTTGAACCAGAGCCTTCTTTTTTGAGCCTATATCTTTTAGCATCCACTGAAGCATCCAGTATGCAATAGCCTGCATGAACAAGAGCCACAAAGCTCCCTGTTACCTGGGCCCTGTACAGTCTGTTGAAGGCATTGCAAATCTTAGTACTATTTTCAGCCCACCCTGATGATGCTTCTCTCCACTGGGGTATGTAACACAGTCTTCAACAATTTGTCTTTAAGCAAGAAAACATTACCTGTAAAGAGAAAAACCCACCTGTAAGTAAATGAGATTCCCTGGGGTAAGGGAATCATCCACCTTGATAAATCAAGCTGCACTATTTAGCAGCTGAAAGTCAGTCTTGTAGCTCATAAATCTACTGAAGACATCCTGCAGGTGTTCCACAGAAGCATCCCAGCACTTGCCCAGGTCAAGAGGATTTTCCTGCTTAATTAACAAAGCTATTTTGTTTTCCCCTCTTTAATTCCAAAATGGTAAGTAATTGGGGAATCAGCCTACAGAGAGCCAAAGGTCTTGATTGCTAGTTAGCAGCCCCTGGGTTAAATTCAGCCATGGAAGCTTTTCACTGGTGGCGAGAAGAGAAATGTTTACTAGAAACTACAACCCCTATGGTTCAAGCTTATGTCTAGTTCACACTGTGCCTTTGAACTTAGCTACATTTTCTGCATTTAGAAAGTTGCAAAAAAACTTTATAACTAAGATCTAAGGGAATTAAAGCAAAACTTTATAAATGTTTTGTTTCCAAATGAAAATGTGGAGGCACCTTCAGAAGCTTTGTTCTCTTTTCACTTATGTTTTTTTATTCTACCTTCAGAAGAAAAAAAATAGCAGGAGAGGGCTTCCTCCCTCAGGCTGCTTGGTGAACGGATGTTGTTTTCAAGATGGCCCCATGCAGTTCACTAGCAACAACTTCAATGTTCCTAAAATTTCAGTGGCACTGCGTGAGAGTCTGGAAACTTGGGGTAAAAAGAAAAAAAGCCTGTGAAATATGGTTTGGAGCAATGTGTTTTTTTCACTCTCAGGATATGAAAATAAGAGCTTATGTTTTGTATATGATTTTCCTCTCTTGAATGGAACCTTTTTTTTAATTAACACTCTGGGTAGATTTCTAAAGTGAAATGACTCTTCTGCCAAAATGGTTATTGGGTAAAGGCATGCTTGTCCTTTAGATTTGGGAAGACAATGTGTCACTCACTATGAAGAATTCATGACAAGCTCTGAAGAACAGTCAGTAGAGCACAGAAATTCACACTCTGGAGTACCTCTTCACTGCAAGCAGAAAGCGACAGCATCTGCACAGAGATTTGCTTCCTCAAAAACAAAGGGTAAAGAAGGAAAAACTTTCTGAATTCACATAGTCTGAATTCACAAGACTGAAAAATGGTCACAGTCTAGACTGAACTGATTCTTTCTGAAATCCATCTGCACCAGGAGAACTGGAGCTGTGACTAATACACTATCTTTGGGTCAGCTGTGGATCGAGTTGAATTTGGAAGGAGATATCTCAGGTCATCTCAGGCAGCCAAACAGGCTCCCCTCCAGCCATCATTGCACTTAATGGGTCTGGAGACAACATGTGACTGCTTCTCCCATGAACTGTAAACATGATAAGAAATTAACTATGGAGAAGAAAGGGCTTTTTATTTTTTAAAGAAGCATCACAGAATAATCAGTAAATATACTTAAAACTCAGCCTCTCAGAGAAAGTTGTAGCACATGGATTTGGTGACAACAGATGCCATAATTCTGCCTGTCTCCAACAAGATGGCAATTGCTAAAGTTAGCTTGCAACATGTTTCACTTCAATAATCTGAATTTATGTGAATTGTGAATTGTTAAAGGTGGTTTTCCAGGCTCTATTTATTATTAACATAAAGATGGATAGACAACTCTAAAATATTTTTCATCCTATTTTATAAACCTGTGTTAGAAAAGCTGTCTGCCTCTCCCTTGACTACAGAAAAAGTTTAGAAGCTGGTTAGGTAAAACAGCAAATTTTCACTCAACTAAAGCAAGAGGAGATGAATATCATGCTTAAACAGCACATCATGTATAGCTCTATCTCGAGTCTACTATATGTTCATGTATCTCACAGTTCTACAAGGATAAATGGATACTTGTCATGGATCATAGAAAAGTCTATGTTAGAATGGTATTTCTTGCTTCAAAATGCCCTCTTGCTTTAGCTTCCTGAAAAATAACTTTTTACCTTGTACTTTCCATATTCTGGAGTGTTTCTAGAGCTCCAGACTCTAACCCCTCCGCTTACCCTCCCCTTCAACCTGCAAACCATACTTACAGATCATTGAAAGTATTTTCTCCACCTTGTAAAGAAGCTGAAGGCAGATATTTATTCCATTAGTTCAATAAAAATTTGGAGAAAACATTAATTCCAACAGAGCTGCCCTAGATTTCCATGATTAAATATCTATGTCCTCAGATACCAGCATTTTTATCAATCCGTGTTCATAGAAACACCAAAGTATGATGATGCAGAGGAAGACCTGGATGCAAAACATAGAACCCCTGCAAAAAGCCTTCATTCATTCTACAGAATAAAAGAACAAATGTTGATATCTGTGCCCAAGCATCCTGAGGGCTGGATGTGCACAGTTGGGGCTGTATAAATTCTACAGTCTACCTTAGTGATCCCACAAGGATGGCAAGAGGCAGAAGCCTTGGTACCAGCTTCTGTTGGAGAAGACTTCATTCAAATTGCTCCAATTTCCTTGACCTCAGAGTTTTGGCTACAGGAGCCACCGGAGGTTCATGGGATAAAAGTGCACTTCAAAATATGTCCTAGTTGGACAATTTCACACTGCAGGAATGGTAGAAATAAGGAAAATGTCAGAAAAGGGCAAGAGCAACATATTTTACTGATACCAAGAGCATAATTTCAATCCTTCAATCACTCCATCATATTTTTTTTCTCTTCACTTTAAGTAACTGAAACAAACATTTTGTTTCATCTTTCAGAAACACCTATTGGCAGAAAGAATATTGTACTTGTAAGGAAAGAAGTAAATCAAAAGTGAAGGATACCTACTTAATTGTTGAGACAAATGCTACTTGGTCTTTCTCTTATCAAGTTTTCTCATCTAACCTCATTGTTAAAACTTGTTCAGTAAAGAGCCCCATGGAGGAAACATCCTGGATCCTTAGATATCCATGTCAAAACTCCCACTGTCCTTAGTGAGAACAGTCATTCTCCATACAAGTCCTTTTTCAAATGATTTTCATTTATAGGATCAAGAGATCTCAGGACTGGATTCCCCTACATTCAAATTTTTCAAATTAGGAAAAATTTTCAAAGGAGTTTACTTCAAGTTTTGGCATATAAGTAAAATCTGATTGCTTTAA